ATCCCTAAGGAAAGGGAAGAAAAACAATGAAAGAACACACTAATTACATGTAGTACATAGCTCCCAGGAGAGGGGGGGGTCGATTTGCTTTTTTTGTTCGACCCAAAAACCCCTCTCCTGGGAGCTATATATTGCTGGGGATTTCTGGAGATCTCTGGGAAGATTTTTCTGGGGATCTCTCTGGGTATCCCGGCTATCCCTGGTATGGGACCTCTAGGAATCTCTGGATCTTTGGGGATCCCTGGGGACCTGATTTCTAGAGATCTTTACAGATATCTGAGAGGCGCAAGAAAAGAAGAAAAAAAAGGAAAAGGAAAATGACCTTTGCCATTACATAGAAACAAGATAGTTTTTAAGTTTATGAAACAACGGCAACGCATAAGGTGGTCTAATGATTACTTCCATTGATTATTTTGGCAATGTTCCTCAGCAAAATAGTGCCAGAGCCAGGACAACCCCTTTTACAATAGTTGAAACTAATAATACCCTTCAAAAAAGCACATAATTTCCACTATTTTTATGTTGGGAAAAAGGCTTTAGCACGAGCTTTGCTCTAAACCCGTTTTTGTATCTAGGTCTGCTCCTAGCACGGCTGAATATACGTAGGCATATCCTTGGATATATCTTGTACTAGTGCAACTACAGGTTATCACTATTTAGGCTAAGCATATTGTTTGATCAGGACATTCAGAAATGTTGCTACCATGATAACCAATACAAACTCTATAATTTACCATTTTGCAATGATATCCCTAAGTCCCTAATGATAGTTATATGCAGTTCTAATAGCATGATGACGTGTAATGTCCAGATATGTGCTTTGCTTGCATTGCTTGTATTTGACATTATGTCCAAGCTCTCTGCTTGTTTGCAATGTTGGTTTGTGAGAGAGACAGTTACAAGTTATGCCGCTTTCAGTTTGCCAAAGTGATTCCCTTTGACAAAAAATAGCATGCATACAAGGATTTCTTCCAATGGTTCCTATCTTAAACTCTAAATTTATGGAATGGTTGTGCTATATGTTGGATTGAAGCTGATCTCTGCTACGTGCATGTTGGATTGACTTTACCTTGTTGTTTTTCTATGGTGATTGAACAAAAGTAAGCTTGCATATTATATAATTTGTTTTATTCCCTGTGAGAAGAGTCACTTGCTGCATGCCCCTCCATGGCTAGTGTGAACTTGTGATATCATATTCACTTGATTACAGAACTTGATCGAGTCATTAAGATCTATGCTTCCATTATACTTCTGTTCATTTCAATCTTTATTTTGATGATCATTCTAATCAATTTCAATCACGTTGGTTTATATTGGATAGTTATTGTGAGGTGTTGACTTTCAACCCTTAATACGTACATCCTTTGCAAGTGCAACTGCTTGCATTTCACATGATGTTGTGAAGTCCAGACTTCAGTTGCGCATGTAAAAACCACAAATCGAATCAATACAGCTAAACAACAGCATTTGCAATTATCTATTGTGATGTCAAAAGGGGATCTGCCTTGGCAGTTTTTTTTAGTTTTGCTATTGTACTAAACAGTAGGTCATTAGGTACTGTCAGCACATAGACACAGACAACTATATGTATAGATATTGAGTTTGCTCCTTGCCATGTGTTTATTTCCATGCAGCTGTGCAAAAACCATTGGAAGAACAATTTACAAAGGATTTCGACCCTACCTCCAGTCCTACTATACCAGTTGACAAACATTTTACTGAAGTAGATGAAGCAAGAACCAAATAAAGTATCTAATAGGAATGCAGCAAACACAAAGTAAACAACATTAAACAGAATCATTAAATTTTGACAACATGCTATGAATATAATATAAACAACATAAACATACATAAACAACATAAACCATTCTTCAAACACTCATCCACAAAACACGTAAAAACAACAACGGGCCCAACAACAGTTCGTCACATAAATTTCGGGATCCATCCTAGTGAAGCTGAAGGAGAATGGGCTGAAAATATCATAAAATATCATAAAATATCAACCATTTAAGGGGAGAGAATGGTTGTTTTAAGTGGGGCCATGTTTTAAGTGTTCCCGAAATTTCTTGATCTATGTTGATCTTGATCCAATGATCCATGTGAATCATCAAGTCAAAGGATTCCTGCTGAGATACCCCGTTGCTGCAGATTTTTCTAGCCTAGCAGTGCAACCTTCCCCCTTAACAATGGTTAATAATGGTTGATAATGGTTGATAATGGTTAATAATGGTTGATAATGGTTGATAATGGTTAATAATGGTTGATAATGGTTGGTAATGGTTAATAATGGTTGATAATGGTTAATAATGGTTGATAATGGTTGATAATGGTTAATAATGGTTGATAATGGTTGATAATGGTTAATAATGGTTGATAATGGTTGATAATGGTTAATAATGGTTGATAATGGTTGATAATGGTTAATAATGGTTGATAATGGTTAATAATGGTTGATAATGGTTGATAATGGTTAATAATGGTTGATAATGGTTGATAATGGTTAATAATGGTTGATAATGGTTGATAATGGTTAATAATGGTTGATAATGGTTAATAATGGTTGATAATGGTTGATAATCTGACCATAACGCTTGCACGACGCGTTAGGTCTTCAAATGCAAATGTGCAACATGGCTGAAAATGCAAAGGATGCTGCCTTTTTCGCAAAGAATCTAAGCTCGAGTGGCCACTGCAGATCGGACGGCCAACTGATGGCACCTGAAACCCTTAGCAAGCAGGAATGTCATGTCATGCGCTGAAGATGCTGTGGTGATTTCACACTGGGATTACTTTGTTGCTTGACATTCCTGTCGCATTCGTGCAGTTGAATCCAAGGCCTTTGCAGCCACTGGTAAAAGGTTGCCATCAAAGTCATGCTAACCTTTGTCAAACCATCGGCAAATTGGAGGGCCGTTGGGATCCAAAACACATTGTCTCTGGACAAAAACTGTTGTGCTGACCTAATGGTGACTATTGTGCGTTTATCCTCTGTTCGAGGATTTTCACTGACCAAAACGTCATACAGCGAACGGCAGTCTGTTGCCTGAACCATTCGGAGTAAATCACAACTGGCAATGTGAAACGCCGGCCGGTTCAGTAAGAGCTCGCTCAGCATATAGTTCACCAAGCTTGAGCGGTCGACGCTCATGTCAGCTGCCGAAGCTTCCGCTGCCAGCGTTGATCTGCACACTCTTGTTGAACGTGATGATTTCCAGTCTACCAAAAGTCCTGCTTCAATCACGTCTGTCGCCTTCGGGCTCGCCAGCATGATCAGTGCACCATGTTGGCTTGCAAAGCCGACTGAGTTCGCCCAGCTTGAGTCTGCATAGCTAACTACCATGGTGGAGTAATCGATGGGCACAGGTCGCAGGATCAAGCCGTCGGTCTTGGTCTGGTGCAAATGTTCCACGGCCATGTACATGTTGTGCAAGTCCTCATAGGTCGACTTGGCACCCCTGCTGCACAAGCTAACGATGGCAGCAACATCTGGTCGGGTCTGACCGGCCAGCCATTGCAAGCACCCAGAAACGCTACGGAACTCTCCCAGGTCGGCGGTGCTCAGGGTTTCTTTAAACATCTTTTTAGAAACAGTTCCGCCTTTCATCTCAGATATGAACTTCTCCTGGTCGAGCTTGAGCTGATACTCGTTGGAGGAGCTGTCATACTTCAAGGAGATCTTCTTGCCCTTGAAGTCTAAGTGGCTCTCCAGCGAAAGCTCATTCTGGCTGCCCCACTTGAACTGGCTGAGCAAGTGGCTTCTGTCATAGCGCATGTCGTGGGCCATGAGAAAGTCATCGACATAGACGACCACAACGGCGCATAGTGTTGGTTGGCTCTCGCCGTCAAACTTCTGGTAGTAGTAAAAGAGCATCTTGTCAAGACTGGATTGTTGATATCCAATCCTCTTGAGAATCTCGACGACGTGGAGTTGCCATGTCCTTGGGGCTGAGGCCAATCCGTAAATATTTCCCACCACCTCCAAAAGCGCGGCGTTCTCAAAGATCTTCGCCTGCTTGCAAATGCCATCTGTCGGTGGTAAGAGAAACAAGGGCATGCTACGCTGTTCTGGTTCGCCCTGAAGGAAGGCAGTCTTCACATCACCTGCCCACAAGGTCCAGCATGCTATCGGATTGCCCATCATCTTGCCGTTTCTGCCAGCGATGAAGATTGCAAAAACCAAAAATTCAGACTGCCTTGTGGGTGTGGCACTCTCCCTCTGCAACGTCCATAGGTCTGGATCTGTGCACCCCACGGCAACAATTCGACATTTTGGTTTCAAAGGTCCAACCCCTCTTGACTTGTCTCTGAATGCCGCGCGCGATCTCAAAACGCGCTTGCGCATCACCTTGTCGTTGAGGATGCGGCGTGCTTCTTCTCGAGGGACAGGTCTCACAGAGTTGAACTGCATCCATGAAACTTCTTCGGCTTTGGCAGCATCGACATAGGCCTGGATGGTCTTGTCATCCATGTTGAGAATGGTCTGCCAAGGTATCTCTTTGTCCAAAGCTTTCTTCTCCTGCCGAGTCAAGGTAGGTGGAATGGCATCTCGCGGTCCACGGAGATCCTCAACCTCGGCATCTGATTCATCACTGTCGCCATTGCCAGTGTAGTTGGTGTCCTTGCGGTAGGCTGCCATGAAGGTCTTGCTGGCATATGGCATATGGACCTCAGGAGATCCATCAAATCCATCAGTCATGCGGGTGATGCCGTCGACATCGTTGATGTCAAAGTCAATGCAGTGGTCTTTTGCAAATGAATTCAAAACCCTCTCATCTTGAGTGGATTGTAAAATTGAAACATCAAAAGGCCCCTCGGCTGCAGCTTCTTGAAAGGTTCTTTTGGCTGGTGTCAACTTCAAGGCTTCCGGTGTTGATGGAGCCTGTTGACCAATCTCGTCTGCTGCAGCTAAGCTTGAAGGCACGGCTTGTTGTGAAGCCTGTTGAACTGCTGCATCATCATCATCGTCTGCGACCTCAATGACATCTGTCGGAGGCATTTCAGGCAAAGGTGGTGTTGCGGCACCCGCTGGATTGGGCAAGGCCAATGCTGTTGCACTGAAGAAGGTCCTGGTTGTTGCTCTGAAAGAGGTTCAGCATGTGACTGTCGCACTGAAGTTTGTTCACCTTGCGACTGTCGTGGTGTCGCAGGTAGAGGTGTTCCACTTGTCAAAGCTGGGTCACGTAGTTGCCTGGCTGGCGTCTTTGACCTCGACCTGTGTGGTTTGCGCACAGGGATATTGACTCGTGGTTGAGCTTGTTGTGCTTCAGTCATGCCAAAGGACTGTTTCTGGATGATGGTTTGGCGATATGTTGGTGATGACATATTCATGTTGATTGTAGTTTGTTGGTATGGATCTGTTTGTGTAGCTTCTTCAGTTAATTGTTGTTGAGGTAATTGTGGTACTGAAACAGGTCTTGGCGTGGAAGGCACTGGAATAAGCTCGACCCCAGGTGCTTCAGGTTCGTCATCTCCTACACCAAGTGGTGGTGGCACTTGTACTTGAGGTTGAACTTCATCAAAGCCAGGTAGCTCTTGTCCTTCAGGTGGCTGTGGAAGTTGTTCATCTTGAAAAACTCCATGCTGAAGGTTGTCAGCGGCTGTCCTAAGAGCTTTGATGTCCTGATATGAAGGATTCCAGTGCTCAAATCCAAGTGCTGGTCGTACTTGATGAGGTGACACCTTCACGGTGTTTGTGCCTGCTTGCAACCACATGCTTTTGTTGTCGGGATCACGGCCCAAAACGCGAGCCAACTTGAATCCTCCTCGCTTCTTGCCTGACTTGGCTGTCCATCGCCAGTAGGCAGCAATGGAGCCCACTGGTAGTTCTTGAGGATCATTTGGAGTTGACTTGCGCAGCAAGGCACGTCGAAGGTTGCTATCCACACTCATAGCTGACAAATGCTGCTGTGCTTCGGCACGCAAGTAGTCAGCTTCTCGTTGGGCTTGTTCTCGGGTTCTTCCAGCAATCAAACCATGCTTGTCTGAGAGGAGATTCATGCCCATTCTAGGCACCCTTCCGAAAGCCGCAACAAAAGGTGGTCTGCCAGAAGACCATGTGCATGAGTTCTTTGCAAAGCAAGCGGCAACTGCAGCTAGCTCCATGGCTTCTGGTCCAACGACTGCTCTGCTGTCGATGGTGCGTTCCATCAATTCTCGCAGTGTTGAATTGTGTCGCTCTATGAGGCCTATCCTGGAGTGGTTCTCAGCCGGCACATAGTCCAAAAAGGTTCCAGCTTGGTCCATGGATTCCTCGAAGAAGCCTCGTAAACTCCCATCAGGGTCAGCTTTGATTTTGAGTGGATAGCCAAACGATCTTGCCCAATGTGTTGTGAACTTGAAGGTTACCTCCTCTGGGCTGCGGTCAGACAAAAGCAATGCCATATGAAGGTGAGTGCATTCATCTATGATGCCCAGGAAGATGTGGTTGGTGGACGTTATGTCCCTGACATAGACGAGGTCCATCTGCACAACGTCACCAAATTGCAAGCTAACATCTTGAGGGATACCTGCAGGTTCTGGTCTACCAGGTCCTTTCACACGCAGGCAAGATTCACATGTGAGGCTTTCAATGGCGTCATAGATCTTCTGATCCTTGATGCCGTTCATCGCAAGCATCTTCTTCAACTCGTTGGCATGAGGGTGGCCTAGGTTGCGGTGTAGCCGCGACAAGGCCGTCTTGATGTCTTGCGACAAGCCAGGCATCTTTGGAAAGGAGATCCCAGTTGTGTTGCTAGCCACAATGACTTGTGGATCATCTTCGACTGGTTCTCGCGGTGGATGTTGCATCTCAGGTTGTGCTGACTCAGGTTTTCTGTCGGCTGCCGCATAGCCAAAGAAAAACACGCCAATGTTCACTGGTTTCCTGAACTTGGCACGTGGATGTCTGATGTCTGCCAGGTCCTCTTCAACAACCTCCACGGTCTGATCGTTGTAGAGAAGGGCCCACCCACGGTGTGTGTGGGGGATGTGCAGTGGCAAGCGCAGCATCGTAGGTTGAAAGGCAATCTGCACTCGTTCAAGTCGATGCCATTGCACAAGTTGTTGAACCATCCTCCAAGTGACATCTGAGGTTGGCAATACGTAGCTTCTCTGACGTGTCATATCAAAAGACCTTTGAGCAGATTCAAAAACAGGCATCCAATCTTGTGGTGTCGTATTCACAGCCATCACCTGAAAACGCATGGTAGAAGAGGTTTGAAACCGGTCTGGATCAAATTGCTCAGCAGTGCGCTTGATGCCGTGCAAAATCTGTTTGATCATGTCATCAGGATAATGCTGCGAAAGAGTGGTTTCTTTTCCAACCAAAGGGACGCATTGTTGAAGTTGCTCTGGATCAAGTTTCCTGGTCAAACGCTCAAGTACATGGGGACAGTTGCCAAGGAACTTGAAGCTCTTCTTAATCATCTGACCCTTTGAGTTGGTTCCACCATAGGCCCCTGAATGGCACACCACAAAGTAAACTCCAGGAAGTCGTAGGAGTTTGAGCACCAATGGTTCAAGCCAAAGGCGGCTTGTTGCTGGATTTTCCAAAAGAAAGTATCGGCCTTCTTCAGCTTGTTTCACACACCAGCGGACAACTCGCCGCAAAACTTTTCTGGCCTTCTCTCTCCGCATGAGCAGCAGGATCTTGCGCCTCACGTAGTTGGTGTTGTCCTGAAGTAGGCACCAATCTTTGCATTCAATGCCCTGCACAAGGAAGAGAGGCTTGAAGCGGTCAAGCAGAAAATCCACATGTTGTTGGTGTGTGAGTTTCTCCAAGTCATAGCCGGTGTTATAGTCAATGGGCTGAAGCGCTTTCAGGCCAAAGCGAGATGCCCTCAAGGTCAGTCCAGCCCGTCCTGCGAAGGTCTCCAGCAAATCCACCCGTGGCCTGCTCTTCAACAAGGTCAAAGGTGAGGTGGATGTAGTGCCGGCCATCATCACATCATGTTCAACTTGGAGTATTTGAGCCGCTTGGCGCACAGCATGTCGCAAGTTCTTCCGTTCCAAGTTGGTCGAAAAACCTTGTTGTGGCTGTGGGTGAAGACGAAAAGTGGTCTTTCCAATCCAGAGTTGTTTCATGCTGGATGCCCCGGACACGTTCCAGTCATAGTTCATCACCTGTGTCCTGCCATCCTCATACAACATTTCAACTGTGCATTCCGTGCACAACCGTCTCACATGCACTGGACATGGATCGCCCTGGTAAAGGTCATTCACATTGAAGAGTCTTTTGCGTGGGATGTTGTGGATCCTTGAAACTGTGTTTTTGTCAACCTCCCACCAATCAATCTCTTCTTCATCATCCATCACGTGAAGTCCTGGATGTCCATGGCGATGTCGAACGGTTGAAACCCGTCCTCGCCCCCATCCGACTCTGGTGGGAAAGCTTCTGGGTCCCACGTCTCTGGCCAATCCTCCGCCGGGTCCAAAGCTGGCATGTAGGCCACTGGAACTGCTTTCGCCTTGGGCTTGGCGCGGGCTTTCGAAGTCGTAGTTCTCGAAGCTCTTGAAGTCCTGCCCGTGCTCGTTCCAGGGTTCGCCAGGATTGTGGAAGATGAGGGCGGTGGCAAGTGCGAAGAAGCTTGCGATGGCGCCTCTCCATGAAGTTGCCATCCTTCTTGGTCTTGGTCCCATTTGAACCTCTGGCCGCACCGCTTGCATCGGCTGAAAGAGCCGTGGATGTTCCCGTAGCGGCGGCACACTGGGTGAGTGCACGTCGCCGGGTTGGCCAATGTCACCGGCCTCATCACTTCGCATCTTTGTGCTTCCACCTCGGCCATATGCTCCCACATTGTCAGCCATTGGCGGCTTGCCAGGCCGAACTTCACCATCTTTGACATTGCCCTGAAAGCATTGAGCCGCAGGGTCATCACCATGATGAACATCATCTCCCATCGCTTCAGCCATTCTGGCGCAGTCTGCCGGAACATCAGCCGGTAGCAGCGCTTGCAGGGGAAGGTCACGAATTGAGCCTTTGTTAAAAGCTCCAGGTGCATGTAAAAGCTCAGGATCAGGATCTTGCCAAAGATGTGGATTGGAAAGTTGCTTCCAGCATGGATGACGCGCAATTTCATCTGAAAACTTCACAATACAAACTGCAAGGTGCCCATGTCTATGTGTCAAAGGCAATGTCACTCCCAAATTGGAAAATGTGATGCACTTCGTGAACATGTCAATGATGCAACCCAAACGTTCCAAGAGAGTTCTGCTTGCCAAAAACGGAATGTTTGTTGGTAAAACACTTGCACCAAAAACGATTCCCTTGGTCTCCTGGCCTTCCATCTGGACCGGGAAATAGGCACGCTCTGCAGCTGCGATCGGCTTGCCTGAGCCGAATTGAAAGTGGTCTGTTGCATCCACCTTTTTGACTTGGAGGTGGTATGTGTTGAGGATCTTGTCGTGTGTTTTCAACCAAACTTCACCACAACATGAACGTTGGCATGCCGTGTCCAACACCATGAAGCCCCCAAGGTCAATGGTTTCCGTTACCCATGTAGTGGATGTTGAATCAGCGCCAAAAACAGAAACGGTGGTAAAAGAAAAATAAGTGGTAGAAGGGCTCGAAGTGATCTCATCATCATGTTCATGTTCATGTTCATGCTGGTCGTGCTGAATGCCCACGACATAGGCTTTCTTGATATTCTTCTGGGCATGTGAGGATGTAGATGAAAAGGAAGACGAACCCCCACTACCGCTCTTGAATCCTTTTCCACCTGAGTCGCGCTTCTGTGCTGAAACGCTACATGCAGCGTCGCCAGCCCAATGGCCGGTCTGACCGCACGCACTGCACGTGCTGGTGCGCTTGCGTTCTTCGATCGATTTTCTGTTGGTAAACTTCCTTCCCAGCACTGAAGCCTGAAGCTTCTTGGAGGTGACGGTGAGGACCTGTGCAAGATCGGCTAAGGCATTGACATCTAAAGGTTCATCGCCATCACCGTCGGCGTCTTCATCGCCTTCAGGGATTGGTTCCAGCTCCTCGTCATTCTCATTGGGTTCCTGCGGATCTTCAAATTCATCATCTTCAGCTTCATCTGGCTTTTCATCTTCTCCAGCTTCGTGTTCCGTTTGGAAGACGCTACGAGGAGGGCCCTTGCCGTAGGGATACGTCTTTGGCGTGTTCCCTTTTCCTGTGAAACGGCCCTTTCCAGATGAAGCTGATGTCGACGAAGATCTAAATGACCCCGTAGAGCCTTTGGATGAGGATGAGCTTGAAGACGATGAAGCTGATCCCTGTTGATGTGGTTGTCGAATCCCGCCAGTGATCCAAATCGGTGGTGTCGGCTTGAAGTCCGGGAACTGCAAAAACATGGATTCAGTGATCTTGGCATAGTCAAGGCTGTTTCCGGCCCCGATCATCACCAATCTTTGCAAGTCAGGTGATAACTGGCATCGCTCCATGATTCTGTTGCCTCGGGCCTCACTGTCGTACATAGTGCTGGTCTCAATGCCAACAGTCTGAAGATCTCGTTCAATGCGGCGGTACCTGTTGACGTACTGTCGCACAGTCTCGTTGCCATGGCGTCTAACGCCTTCGAAGTCTGCAAGAAGCTTGCGTTTCTGAAACAGAACTTTCTGCTGCAAAGGCCCCCTCAGCTCCTCAAGGATGTAGTTGACACCATTCTTGTCGTTGATTCTTTTCAAATCCAAATGTTCGGCTTCTGCTTCTGCCTCACCCTGTAGTGAGGTATACAAAGCCAATCCCATCTCTGAAGCTGTCATGAAGCTCTTCGCCTGCAGCACCCAAGTCTGGACTTTGCGCTCAAACTTGGCAAAAGCTCTGAGGTCCGACTGCTGGTACGTCCACTTTGGTGGAAGTGGCGCAGCACCACCTCTCCATCGAACTCCAGGAGCGGGACCCCGCAAACTGTTCCATGAGACCTCGCTGCCTGTGTTGAAATGCTTCTTCTCGTCCAACAGCTGTCGCATCACTGACAGCATGTCTTCTCGGTCATCATTGCGTTGGGCTCGGTTAGGAGGATCATCTCGTTGAACCGCAGCATCAGGAAGGTGAGGTCGTTGTAGTGTCTCGCTAGCTCCACTCATTGAACCACCTGCTCGCCTGCGTCGGCGTCTTGCCTGATGAAAAGGTCCATCTGGATTGACGACCGGGTCATAGGTTGGTGCCTCACTCTCAGGCGTCTCGGATCTTCCACCAGAATTGCCATCTGGAGGAAAGCCACGAGCCGTCTTGGGGCCACTCTGACCTAAGCCCTCGCCAGCAGACATCGGGGAGCCTTGAGCGGAAATGTCACGCCCAGCGTCACCCGAACAGTCGCCACTGCCCGCTGAACTTGGACTGTGAGGGACATACATCCAAGTGCCTGATTGTGTTTCCAGCTTGGTCGGCCGGTTTTCGTCATAGAAATCACAGCTTCCACACTGGCTGCACTTATAGAAACCCATCTCATAGTCCCAGCTCCAAGCTGCAGAACGACAAACCAAGCATCGCCAACGGGCTGCTACCTCAGTAGGTTCCCTAGGATCGACCTCTGAAGGAGTCCCATCAGAGCGTTCATCAATCAGTCGGCGCTCTTCACGTGCCAGCTCTGAAGGTGTCCAATCGAGAGATTCATCTTCGAAAGGATCTGTCTCATCCAGAGGTTGGCTCCGGTGCCAACTGACCATAACGCTTGCACGACGCGTTAGGTCTTCAAATGCAAATGTGCAACATGGCTGAAAATGCAAAGGACGCTGCCTTTTTCGCAAAGAATCTAAGCTCGAGTGGCCACTGCAGATCGGACGGCCAACTGATGGCACCTGAAACCCTTAGCAAGCAGGAATGTCATGTCATGCGCTGAAGATGCTGTGGTGATTTCACAGATAATGGTTAATAATGGTTGATAATGGTTGATAATGGTTAATAATGGTTGATAATGGTTGATAATGGTTAATAATGGTTGATAATGGTTAATAATGGTTGATAATGGTTGAAAGGGTAATAATGGTTGATTTGATAATGGTCTGATAATGATAATGGTTAAAATGGTTGATTAATGGTTGATGATGGTTAATAATGGTTGAAATGGTTGATAATGGTAATAATGGTTGTAATGTGATGATGGTTAATTAATGGTTGATAAGGGTTGATAATGGTTAATAATGGTTGTAATGGTTAATATGGTTGAATGGTTGATTAATGGTTATAATGGTTGATAATGGTTATCATGGTGTTTGATAAAATGGTTGATAATGGTTAATATGGTTGATAACTGAGTTGTATGGTTAATAATTGTTGATAATGGTTGATAATGGTTAATTAATGGTTGATAATGGGTTGATAATGGTGATAATGGTTGTAATGGTTAATAATGGTGATCATGGTTGATTAATGGTTAATAATGGTTGATAATGGATTGATAATGGTGATAATGCCGTTGATAATGGTTGATAATGGTTAATAATTGGTTGATAATGGTTGATAATGGTTGATAATGGTTGATAATGGTTAATAATGGTTGATAATGGTTGATAATGGTTAATAATGGTTGATAATGGTTGATAATGGTTAATAATGGTTGATAATGGTTGATAATGGTTAATAATGGTTGAGAATGGTTGATAATGGTTAATAATGGTTGATAATGGTTGATAATGGTTAATAATGGTTGATAATGGTTGATAATGGTTAATAATGGTTAATAATGGTTGATAATGGGATAATGATCTATAATAATCCCATGACGGATCCATGGTGCTGGTAGATTAATGCTAACATTGGGGGTAGATTGATGGGATCCATGGAGCACCATATATAGCAGCACCGTTAGGATCCTATGGGAAATGTTGGGAATCGACCCATAAATCATTGAATCCATCTACTAGAACCATTCAAGCCAATCATATGGTATGTCTGACAATGGTGCGCAGCTCTAGCAATCTTAACGGGGAGACTGATAATGATCTACATATTAGCGGTGCTACATCGTATAAACCATTATAAACCCATATAAATATTCCATGCAACATATTTTGGACCTTTTTTATACCAATCTTCGGCAGACGAAGCTGGGTTTTGTCCAAAAAAAATTGCCGGTCATCAGGAGCCTCTCAGGTGCTTTTTCAACTTCAGGCCTCGGTGCCAAGGAATGTGGGAAACAGCCTGGAAATGCTGCCAGCATTTCGTGCCTCGAAAAACCATTGACTTTGAAAAGAAACAAAGTGTAGGTAAACTTAGTCAATTGAAACCTACATTAGTCAGATGTGTAGTATTATTAGTATTCCAATGTGTAGTATTTCAATGTGTAGTATTTCAGAAACCTTGAACTTATTGAAACGTTAATGGGAACGATGCGATTTCATCCTAATAAAGCGACAGAATGAACTACACATATATAGTTTGTCTGTGTGTAATAAATTATAATTAGGGGAGCCCTGTTATCCAGCAATGCATGAAGGCCATAAATTATGTAACCAATGACAATGCATCTAACATTGTCTTTTGCGAGTACCCCATTTTGAGACAGATCCATCTAAATAGTCAATAGTCAGGAAACTGCACAGCCGATGTTCCGATGCCGGGAAATAAGGAGAAGCACATGCGGAAACCATAGATCAAACTGCATAGTGCCGACAGACTGAAAGTGGATTGGTGGTTTTGGATTTTAGTGTGAACGAAACGCACAGTCCATATGTTTTTTCTTAGATACATGACAATTCAAAAGCTGAAGATACCTGGAGTAAGTAAGCTTACCTAGATGTTTTCCCTACAACCCTAGCCAGGCTGTTATAATCTATAAGAAAATTGCTAAATATGTCATGAATATTCATGAATTACAATCAGAACAAGACCATCACAAAGGTTGTACACTCCAGATCCAAATATTCTACAATGTGAGGCCCCCAGTCGATAGCTAAGTTGGTTTATATATAACTCCAATAACTATGGTTTATGGTATTTATAGCTATAGTTACTGGGACTTATAAACCAACTTATATCTTGGGGGCCTCACATTGTAGCTGAATTATCATAATTCACGATCCTCAAGAGCTGCACTTCACACTGGTGATTCCCCCAATCCCACTTTCAGCCATTCCAGTGACGGAAAACACGACGTTTTTCGGTGGCCGGGCCATCTTTTCGCCATCCAATCATAAGAGAATTTCATGGCAGTACAATCAGGTTGGTGGTTGACCTACCCCTCTGAAAAACATGAGTGAGTAACAGTTGGGATGATGAAATTCCCATATTATGGAAAAATAAAAATTGTTCCAAACCACCAACCAGGTGAAAATGGTTCCTTCATGTTCCTTCTCTTGGAAGGTCCAAGGTCGCCGAAGGCTAAGCAATCCATAAAACCTGGGCCGCCCTGACCCCGTTCGCTCGGGTGGCGCTTCGGGCCTTAGATGTTTGCGAATCAAATAGCCAGTTCAGGCCACTTTTTATTTGGATGTGCCACTTCAATTCATTAAGTTGATGCTAATTCCCGTTTTGAATCATTCGAAGTTGATGATTTACCGATTTACTGGTTGGTGGTTTCAAGCCCTTTGAAACATATTATATAGTCAGTTGGGATGATGACATTCCCAACTGAATGGAAAATAAAAGTCCATGGTTCCAGTCACCACCAACCAGATAATGGTTAAGAACCATCAACATTATGTTATGGATGAACCCTATATATCATATGTTGGCCCTATGTATTGGATCTGTTCATTCAGCGATGACTCGGGTGCTTCGACTCTCTAACTTACCGTGACTGGATCGGAAGGGAAATCCTCATCCACTGGGTAAGTCATTGGATGAAAATCCACTGGCTTTTGTTTTCATGAATGGATTATATATGGATTACACCATCCACATCAACAGACCCCGTCCTTAAATCTAGAACGTAAGCCTGTAAAGCCAACTTGTCGCCAGGAAAAGCACACTGGCTCTTGTCAGGATGTACAACCAACTCAAAGTTGACCAAACTGAATTCCGCGAAAGATCTCAGAAGCTCCCTTGCAGCACTCCTTCTGTTGTTGGGAAATTCCAACAAATTTCTAGGCAATTTCGCCACAACTGTAGCTCCATCACCAAGACCTTGATGAGTGTGAAAGGGTCGACACTCATATTTCCTCTCGTATTCATCATTGTAGAGGGACAACACTGACTCAATTGTGCAAGCCTGCACAAGAGGTGGAAACTGATCTCCACTTCTTTGGACAGCCCTCACTCTGAAAGTCTCTGGTCTGACCCCACAACATAATCGCAGAAGCGATTTCTCCAAGATCCCAGAAAAGAGCGAAGTGCTCTTCCGAGACGTTGAAAACGATCTTGTGTACTTGGTGGCTCATCCCACTTAGTAAGTGGGTTATAACCCCAGTTATAAATGGGATAAGTAGGGTTAATCCACTTATAACTGGGGTTATAACCCACTTACTAAGTGGGATGAGCCACCAAGTAGCCCTTTGCCAAAACAAAGAAAAGTCCAGCAAGTTCGTCTTGTCCATTGCTTTGAAGTCAATGTCAGTCGAACAAGCGGCTTCATTGTCGATTGAGTGGATTGTGATTGTATGGATTTAGATAATTTATTGCGATTATACATCTTATAATTGCTTTATAATCAATATATTGCTTTATATACGATCCATTTACATCAATATATAATCCATTGCTTATATATTGGATTATATATATATATATATTGATTATAAATGGATTATATGGATTATATATGCTGGTTGCTGGTTGACCCACCCCTCTGGTTTTCATGAAATATGGCTGGTTGCTGGTAGAAATATGGATAATGAATGATAATGATGGATAAACTATGGAAAAAAAAAATGATGGAGAATGATGGATAAATATATAATCTGGTGGCTGGTATACCTACCCCTCTGAAAAATATGAGTTCGTTAGTTGGGATTATGAAATTCCCAACTGAATGGAAAGTCATAAATATACTGGTTGGTGTTTGAGCCACCCCTCTGAAAAATATGAAAGTTGGTTGGGATTATTATTCCCACTATATGGAAAAAGAACACATGTTCCAAACCACCAACCAATATGGGGGGGCCCTGTAAATTGTCCCTGAAACCAATCAATTGAATCAAAGCAAGACTGGTTTTTAGGGTAGACTTAGAGCTATCAAATGGTGTAGCGTTCTTGGGCTGCAGACCTGCATTCCGCCTTTTCGGTGGCATATGTCGTTTGAATTCCCATTTGTGTTGACATGCGTCAACAACATGTCAGGTGTTTTTCGAAAAAGCACCTGATGTGCGGTTTACCCTGACATTTAAACTCACACAGAAATGCAAAATGAATGCAAAGCATCTGTGTCAAAAAGCATCTGATGTTTCTCATGCATGTAAACTAACACATTTGTGCAAAATGAATGAACATGCATCTGTGTCAAAAAGCATCTGATGTTTTTCCCTGACATGTAAACTAACACAGATATGCTTACCCTCTGGTGAACTAACATAGCAATTGAAAATGCCCATAGATAGAGTGGATTTTCCCATTAAAAATGGTGATTTTCTATAGTTTTTTGTATGTTCACCTCAGAGGGTAAAATGAATGAACATGCACCATTTGTAGATCATGTTTTGTGGGGACCATCGAGTTCCATGCCGGGACGCGTCCAACTTTCCGACCAAAATGGGGGACGATAGGAGGTAGCCCGGCGTTAAACAATGCGTAG